CATATTTTTTTTACTTTTTCATTAAAACAAACTAAACAAATGATTTGGTGTATATATGTATATAATAAAATAATATAAAACACTTGTAAGGAGATTTTTACATATAAGGGATGAGGTAATGAAAATTAAGGACAAAATGCGTGAAATAAAATATATTTTTATAAATTTTCTTATCATCACATTGGTTTTTTAGTATTTCTTATTACAATGCATTTTAAATTATTTTTTATTAAGATATTATATTTTGAAAAAAATTTCCATTATAATATTAGTGAACCTTTTGATTTAAACTTACCCATTATATCTGGTTCTCATGTCATCTCATTGTCCATTTAGGTTGTCCATGTGTACCATATTGCTAAGGTGATGTTTCTTATTATAACATTGTACTTTCAAAATTATTTTATTATAGTATCATCAGATCCTATTACAACATTGTACTTTTAGTTTTAATGAATTTGTTATTCAGACATTGTACATTTAATCAAACATGTTTACTAAAATTATAATTTAATAAATGAAACATGCTTATAAAAGATCACTATTTTTTGAATAAAAATATTCACAAACTAACCAAATGGAACATCTTTTAAAAAAAAAAACTCAGTTTAATCACAATTCGTCTAATTACAATGATATTTAATCAAGTTGAATCTTCTTATCACAACTATTACCTTCTCCGTCTTTCTCAATTTTAGACGTGAGATAGGGAATTCTCACACCGTTTTCTGTGCACTTAATTGGGGCTGCGATTGGCTCTGTTTAAGCCATCGTTAGAGTGAATGAAGAAAAGTGATATTTAGTTCGTCTCTATGTTCCCGAGGAAAACTTATTCGATGTTGTGCAAAATGATCGAGATTTGAACAAGAACTCGGTCGAGGAACGAATAAGGGTTCGTTGGAGAAGAAGATGTCGGTTAGAGGTATTTTCTAAACCAAAGATGATGACGTTTATGTGGTTTGGTTCGTTCTTTGAACACCTTCGAGTAGCAAGAGTTTGGAAGGTCATCAGTGGCCGTGGATCAAGGATTTCGAGCCAAGCATTGTTGTCGTCGTGGTTCCATGGCAGTGGGTTGTGTAAAACCCCAAAAAGTTAATACTAATAGCATCTCCAACATCTATGCTATAACTTTTTTTTAAAAAAAATAGAGTATCAAAAGTTAAAATTTCTAAAAAAAAAATTACATCTAACTCTAACAATTACTCTATTTTTACAATTCTACCATTAACTATATTATTAAAATATTTAATATATTTAATAAAATATTATTTTTCTCTCATAAACACTTAGGGCTTGTTTGTTTTTTGAAAAAAACCACTTAATGCCTCTTAAGTCTGAACCGGTCAGACGTTTTTATTTTCAGACCGTTTGTTTTTTTTATATAAATAAGAGCTGAAAAGCTCTTAATTTGCTCTTAAAAAAAGTGATAACATAATCACTTAAATCCTCTTAATCGCTCCCTTCAGACTCTCCCCTCCATCCTCACCTCCAGATTTAGTCCTCCAAATCTATCTCGCAAGACATTCGATCTCCAAATCAATCACGACCCAGATCGATCCACATATTCTCGTAAAATCATGACCCAGATCGATCCAAATCTATCAGATCCAAAACTTGACTGATTCAGATTTCAGACGTAAAAACAAACAGTCTGACTGATTCAGATTTCAGACGTAAAAACAAACAGTCTGACTGATTCAGATTTCAGACTTCAGTACCACCTCTTAAAATTCAGAATTGAAATCAGACTTCAGACTTCAGAACCTCTTAAAAAACAAACGCCACCTTAATTTCAATGTCTGCTATTGGTGAGAAAGAATATAATATTATTTTCTCTCTTAAATATGTAGTTTTAGAGATTTCTCTAAATTTGGAGATTTCTACATCTCTCAACATAACTGTTGGAGTAAAAAAGTTGCTAAAATCTCACTTTTCTCTATTTTATTATAGTCGTTGAAGATGCTATAATTTGTTTTTAAAAATTTAACTAAGTTTTCCTTTTTAATTACATGTAAGCATATCCTACGAATATTTCATGTTATTTTAAGTATGACATGTAAGAAAGCGGCTTAAAAGGTAACATGTTACTTGATACTATGATGATGAGATTTTTCAAAGTACAATGTTCTAATAAAATATAATTAGAAAGTACATTGTTGTAATAATAAAAATTGAAACTACATTACTATAATAAAGAAATAGGAAGTTTTAAAAAAACCTAACAAACTTTTCAATTTAAAATGATTTAATCCCTAAACTATTTTTTGAATTGAAAAACCATTAACCTTTCTCATTTTCAATAATCAAGTCCTTCAACTATTTTTTTGAACCAAAAAACCATTAAAATTACCTTTTTTTAAATGAAAAAAACATTAAACTTTCTATTTTTTGATTGATTAAATCCCTGAATATTTTTTTACTAAATAAACCATCATACTTTTAAAAATTAGTTACGTACATTCTTTTAACCCAAAAATGTTACATTAACTGATTAGTAAAAGTTTGATAGTTCACTTATTTTAAAAAAAAATTAAGGATTTTAATCATTCAAAATGCGAAAGTTCAATGGCTTTTCTATTCAAAAAAATATTTAGGTACTTAATCATTCAAAATTAGAAAGTTTAATGTTTTTTTGATTTAAAAAAATTGTTTAAAAACTAAAGCATTTAAAATTAATAAGTTTGTTGGGTTTTTTTGGACTTTTGGCTGAAGAAATTTATGAAAGGATGTTGCTAATGCGTATATTTTGTCTGAAATTTAATGTAGTAAGTCCATTGGAGGGAGGTATTTTTCATATTTGGCTTCCCAAAATAATTAAAAAGCCAATGTAGAGAAAGTGAAGAGTTTGTTATTTATTTTGCTCTAATAGATTATTTATATTGTTCTTTAAGATAAAAAAAAACACAAAGAAAAAAAAATTCTAAGATGACGTTTGGTTTGCAGATTCTGAAGAAATCTGAAGAAATTGGAATGTTGAATTCTTTTGACCAGATTCATTTTTTTTCGTTTGGTTCATTTTTTTTTACGGGAAGAATCTTCAAATTCTTATGAATTCCATAAATAAAAGGTTTTAACATTTCTTGATAAATAGATGGGATTTTAATGAAAATTAAATTTGTTATTTTCATAATTCCCAATCTACCTTCATCTTATCTCATCATACCCTAATCTTATAGACTTCTCGGTTAATGCGAGGGAAAAACAAAAATGATTTTTTATTAATTCCAGATATTGAATTGAATTAATATTATTTTATATAAATCTTTTTAAAGAAAATATAAAGATGATAAAATTATAAAATATTTTAGTAATTTAATTAGCGATAAAAATTTTAAAATAAATAATTTAAAATTTCTATTTTGTAATGATTATGAATTAGAACAAAAACCTGCAAAAAGTAAAATTCAAAGCCGAAGCAATTTATTTTAAAGAAAAGATCAAATGATAAATTCACCTTTTTATACGAACACAATTTAAGGGGTTTGTTTATTTCTTAATAGTTTCATTAAGAGACAGTCTTTGAATTGTTAAAAGATGAATCTTGTTTGGCAAAAAAATATGCCTTTTAATGGTTCTAAAACCCTCTGAATAATTTTGTATCTTGAGCCTTCCTTAACCATTAAGCACCCTAATTTCATTGTAAACAATTTACTAAACAATTATATTTTATTTTGCATTATATCATGAGAGTCTCTTAATCATTTTGCATCAAACCATTCAACAATTGTCAAACAGCCCCTAAAGATTTTTATTTTTACCAGATAAGTAAACATTTAAGACGCTTAACGATCATTGATTATATTTATTTATTAACAATTGTAATGATATGATTTTGCTGACAAAAAATCTTACCCACGAAGCCAGGATGGTGACTCTTATCGGGCCAATGCTTACCGATTTGATCAGAGATGTTGGCCTTATCTTACCAATAAGTGTTGGTTAATGGGGCCTTTGTCCCGTCAAATGCAACGACACCACCGATGGCTGGAAAAAGAACTCGTGTAGAGTACCACTTGTACGTTGTTAGGCTCGGGAATATGATCTAGCAGTAGTGAAAGGGGCAATGGACGTGAAGTTGGCCTCTTATCTTGTGTAAAGAAATACACGAGAAAATCGACACAACGAAAGCATCCTCACGTTCATGATTCCTTTCACCAATACAAGATCAGAATTCGATAATCTCTTCAGAAAAAAGAAAAAATGATCATTCATTTCTCCACACCTTCTCATGCTCATCTCAATGGTTTGAGATTCAGAGAGAGTGCAAGAATCTAACATCTTAGATGCAAGAAACAACGAGTTTCTCCCATCGTGAAACTTCGAGCTTTCGCATGCGAGAAACCATCTGTTTCTCACCATCTTGAGCGCTCACGCTCTCATAAGCTAAAAAAATGTTTCTCAGCATCCTTTCGGATGCAAGAAGTTGTGTGTGTGTGTGTATGTGTAAGCGTGTGTTGTGGGTGGTATACATAAATATGATGAAACCAAGCATCATTTAAAACAGAAAGAATGGTCCCTAAATAGCTTTGAATCTGATTCTGTAGAGTTATTACTTTAACAAGGCATGAGCCATGAGGTGTATTAGGTGAAAGCCACATGAACATGCATGTGGGATTGAATGCTTTTGCTAATATGCTATTATTCTTTATTCTTCATAAAATAAACACGTCTACTTACACCCCACCTCTGAGACTCCATCTCCCAGTGGGATTTACTGGACTCGTTTGGTTTGATTTGGTCTATCATTTTCGTTAGTGCCTAGGATTCTAATAGTAATGTTACTCTTGGTAGTACCACACACGATATAAATCGTGTACTCATACACCGATTTTGAAGTGTCGAGGATACATCTAGTGACAACCTTAAGGTTCGGGATCTGTCATGTTACGGGTCTAGATCAAAGACTCTTCTTCGAGTTGGAAAAATAAAGCTCTCTTAATTACTTATCTATTAATACTTCATCTGCTTCTAAGTTAAAAGAGAGGGAAATGGACAAAGACTTGTCAAGAACAACATTATATTAACAAATCAACAAACCATTAAAGATCTCTCAAGTGATGAACTCTTTGGGGAAATATATACATGACATGAAAGACGATGGAAGAAACTACAAATTTTATGGCAAAAGCAAACACGGTAAAGATCATAGAAATAAACTAAGAAGCACGGTTCTATAGAGGTAAGGATAGTGAAAGAGTGCGTACAGGAATCATTTCCACATTTTGTGCTTTCCTCCGAAAAACCCCTTGTGCCTGCCACCAAACATCCCGTGCTTCCATCGGTTGCCGAACTTTCCATGCTTAAACTTTCCATGTTTGAACTTACCATGGTGACCACCAAAGTGTCCGTAACCGCCATGCCCATGAGAAAGATGGTGGGCCCCGTATACAGCAGCCGCAGCAGCCGCACCACCAGCTAGCATTGTTCCCATGCCAGGTCTTCCATGCCCTGAAGGAAATTTATAGTGAGACCAAATTTGGCATTTCTTTTCATGTTTTACTGTGTGTCTGATATCTAAATAATCTTTTTACTGAAGGCAAATAAGAAGAATCTTGGGAACCCAACAATACCATCGATCTAGTTGTAAGATTATAATGGGCAAATTGGTAACTTTAACATGGAATCATCCCCCCAAAAAAATGTTTTATTTATCGTGGAACAGCAGTATTTGACTTTGGGTGCCCTTGTGTATTAAACGACAAGATTGTTAAGTTAGTATATATATAATAGGTTATTTGAAACATGCTACACACGCATAGGGGTGGCTGAGGGGGCCCCCTATAGAACCTCTTTGATTTGATAAATACTTAATTTTCATCATCACAAATTATTGATGGTAATTGCTATAGTCCACAAGATCCATGTATTTTACATGATCAAATGGTAGTTCTAGATATTTGACCAAGGCTATGTTCGTCCACCATAAGCTATCTTATTTTTTGAGCTTATTGAAAAAGCTTCATTTGGTTAGCCATAAGCTAGCTTTTTAAAAAAGCTTCAAGTAGCGTTTCAATAAGTTCCGAAGTTTTCTTTTTTTCATTTTTTCTAATTATGCCCCTTGTATTTCTCCAATTAACTTTTCAATTTTGTCATTTTATGTTATCAGCTCGTTTTTATTGAACATAACTCGTTTATTAGCTAGTTAATAAGCACAACTAGCTTATCAACCAACGGCTAGCTTTCCGGCTAACAACTAGCTTATGAGCCAAGAGATAGCCTATCGGCTAGTTTTTCAAACATCTATTAAGCTGAACTTAGTAAAAAGTTTCAATGTTTATGGTATGGAGAAGGTAATTAAAATTAATAAACAAATATGGCTGTGACAAAATATACAAAATTCTCCAGAAACGAACCTGAATGATACGGAGCTGATGGACCAGGATAGCCTGCTGGCGGATAGCCTGCTGGGGGATAGCCTGAATGAGGAGGATAACCAGCCGGTGGATAACCACCTGGGGGAGGATAAGCCTGTGGTGGATATCCACCTGGGGGAGGATAACCACTTGGGGGGTAACCTCCAGGAGGAGGGTAAGGATAACCGTGAGACCCATAAGGAGGGTATGGTCCATGTTGTGGAGGATTGTGTCCAGCACCAGCAGCATATCCAGCAAGATGGGAGAACAGTCCCTTGTCTTTATCATTTTGTCCATCTTCCCCACCACCCATTTTACTTCAACTTGATATCTTCTTGACAGAAACTGCAGTGGATATATAAAACATGATTATAGAAGTGCGATACAGAATTATTAGATAGTCATTCTGACACTTCATATCTATAAGAAATCATTTCAGGAAGATTAGGGAGATTAATGAAATTTGCAACCTACTCCAGTCCCAGAAAGATACGAGACATTTTCTACACCAAAATTTGCAAAAAGGCACCATCTTGTAATCGCAACAAAGGAACTTTCATCAATTGTTTGTTACTCTCCAAGAAATCAGATGTTACAAACTCTCCGATTACACATAGTTACAACTGTTGAGTTAGATTCAGAATTCCTCCAATCCTTCGTCTTTACAAAATGAAAGGTTCTGCCAGCAACTTAAATCTTACAGATGTCTAAAACATTGGAGAGATAAGCTGTTCTGTCATACATAACCCAATAGTTTATACACCTAAAATGTAAAGCTGAGTCATCAAAATGAAACAGTTTTCCTGTATTTGGAGTAAGGACTTTTTCAGTCATTTGCTTTTTTAAGGAGCAACATCTGTGCTTACTAACGAGCGTGCGTGCGTGTGTATATTAATAATTCCTGCACTTGGATTTTCTACTCGATCATTAAAAGGAATTGGAGAGGATTCATATGGCCATAAATATATGCACACCCACATACATTATTACAGAGACCCATTCCTGCATTCTTTGCTGTGCTATCTTTTCCAAACTATTATCTTGAGTTATTGTGATTTGGGTGTTCTAATCTAGTTAGTTGGTGGCTCTAAGTTGTTGTGGAGTTCTGACCATGGTTGTTGGTATTTACCCGGGGTTGAGTGTGTGAATGCTTGTTTCTGGTTCATGTAGTATTTAGTTGACAGCTGCTGTTTTTGGTGCTGAGTAGATCCCTCCAACCCTAATGGTTTGTGTTCTATTCGCATATTTCAACATAATTTTCTTTTCACTAATATAAAAGTAATCTTGTTGGCCTAACCTTATGGTCCAGTTTTGACCAAAAAGATTTTGTAGAAAATATGGAAACAACCACTACACAAACTTCTGGCAGCAAGCACCCAATGTGTATGTTTCACGACACATATCTTTTTATTCTATAATTATCTAATTCTGGATTCGGGTCACAATATCTGAAAAGTTGCGACTTGATTACAAACCATTTACTCCCTTCTATTTTGAACTTCAATTTTTTTTAATTATTCTAGTTGTACAGGAAGAGTCAATAAGGTAGAGTACAATGTAAAACATCAAGAGTTGAAAAAGCTAAAATATCAATAAAAAATTTTGGACGTGGGAACGAGAGAGTAATAAGAACAGATACCTCATACTTTCTAGCATTTAAATCTAAAGAGACTTGTAATATACCCCTGCATCAAAATAAATGTAACGTTTGATCCAGGGGGGGACCTACTAAGAGGGTAGGGTGCACGGGTTACTGCTCAACCGTCTCGTCACAATGGAAAAGAATTAGGGGCCTCAAAGGTGCACTTGCTTAGCTTTGAGAGGTGCCCTGAAATGTTTCAATCAAACTTATAACAGAAATCGGAAATGGCTGAGATGGTCTAAATCTCCGGATTAATGCTTGCCCTTTGAGAGGTTGAGGGTTCAACTCCCTTTTTTAGAGAGAATAGCCAGTTTTTCACCTTTCAAATTTAGGTTTCTAATACTTTTGTGAAAAAATGAAGGCAGTAGGAAGAAATGTCAAATGACCTTCCTTACCGAAGGATTAGCAACAAACCAACTAATCGATCATGATATTATGAAAACTTTCTATTAATAGTGCGACCGCTTGAAAAAAGAAAATTTAGGTCTGCCCCTGGTTTGAACTAACACATACCTTAACCAAAGTCAAATACTAAATATTCACCGAAATCAGGACTAAATAAAGAATCTCACAAACCTAAATCAATTTTACCAAAAAGGACAAAATGAAGAATTTTTTGGACCTAAATTAGTGATTTATGGTAATTATGATGGAAAAAGTTAATTTTGATTGAAACCTCACCAAAAAAGGATACAGATTTTTTCGTTTTGAAACGTCCAAAAGAAAATTGTCGTATTTATTTTAAAGACGGATAGATGATGATCAAGTAGGCTTATAAAAAAATTATAATGGTGACCTCAACAAATTTGATTAATATTCTAAGTTTCTAACCACTCTAATGGACTATATCGCTCTTTTAGGAGAGAATACTTTTATGTTAAAAAAAAAAGTTCCTCCTCAAAACAATCCAATTTATTGCATCCGCTGAAATCTAACAGGGGATTTCACGCTAATCAATCGCTACAACCTAAGCAATCCGATGGTCTATGATCCTTATAAGCAACAGGATTTAAAAACAAATACCAAAAGTAAAGTACGCATTAATGCACCAACGTAGATCTTCGATCAACTAGTTAACACAATCGATCAATCTTCAAGAACAAACATACATAGATCAAAACCCTAGATATTCAAGAAGCGAATCACGTCTACGCATAACAATCACCACAGCAGGTGATAGGTATTTTGATTTCATGAACTAAAACGCATATTATTATGATTATTTACAGTAAAATCAACATGCAAAATACTGTGATGATCATATGAAATTTAAAAAGAGAGAAACAGGGAGGATGATAACCGACAAAAATTGAGAAGAACAACGGATCCGGAGTTGCGCAGAATCTTGAAATTGAATTCAACAACAGAGAAAACCTCTCTGGTCCTTCAACGTTCAAAAAGAGATTAATAAGGGGGAGAGAGAAACGGGAGATAGCGTCTTTATATGCATCAAATGACGCATGGGAAAAGCATCACGTATTCTATGCACGCGTTGCTTAGACGCGTCTCCCTTTTAAAGGATATGCGTAAATTTAGTAAGTTTCATTTTTGGTCTCTGTGGTATGTCAAATATCATGGTTTTGGTCCCTAAACTTTAATTACTACATAAAAGACCTTGTGATTTGCACTTTGTCACGGATTTGGTTCCTAAACCAAACAGTTATCCACCTGCTATATTAAATTGGAGGGCAATTATGTCCATTTTCCATTTTCCATTTTCTTCCATTAATTTTTTCCTTTCTTTAACTCTTCATCTTCCATTAATTTACTCTACAAATATAGGGGTGTACGCGGGTTAGATTGGGCGGTTTTACAACAATTTTATAATTCAACTCAATTATAGCGGTTTGGAAAAATCTCAACCTAACTCAACTCATTCAAAAGTATAACCCAATCGAACCCTTGCGGGTTGAGGCAAGTTGGGTTGGGTTGGTGGGTTAATAGTTTGTAATTACATAATTTGACCAATGAAATAATTCGTAAAACTTAAGTTTATGGACCATATGAACCATACTATAAAGTCTGCTGTCTAAAAAGATTACAATAGATTTATAGAACGTTTTTTGATGTTTCAACAAGTGTTTTAGAATGATCTTTAAATAAAATGTCGTATTAGTTATTGTATAGAAACATTTTGAAAAGTGTCCTGTAAACTCATCCATTTATAGGACACTTATGTTTATATGACACTTTTTCAAGTCGTGTTGCATAAAAGAACTAATACGACACCTAATTTTAAAAACATCATATAATTTGTTAAGACGTCCAAAATCATTATATAAACATATTGTAACTCTTTTAGATAAGACATTTTTCTAATGTAACTCTTTAAAAGCGTCATAGATTGATAAATTCGTCGATCAAATATCTATCAGTATCATTCATTTCTCCAACATATCAATTTGTTGTTGCTGCAAAAAAAATTCAATAATTTTCCTTATTAATTAGATTATTTGTCATTATTCTATTGATCGTGAATCTCTTTTAGTAACCTATACGTTTAGCTAAAATGAAACAAAATATAATATCAATAAAAATTATATAAAATTAAACATTATTTTATTAATATATATATATATATATATATAATTTTATAAAAAATATATATTAGCGGCGGGTTGAGCCAATTTCAACCCTCTTAATTGGCGGGTGAGCAGTTTGACGGTTAGACGGGTTGGATTTAATTGGGTTGTTAGCGGGTTGGATTGGACGAGTTTCGCGGGTTAACGGTTTTTTATACACCAGTATACAAATGTATGTATTTGTGTTACCTTTGGAAAACAATCAAACATAAATAGGATTAATGTATGATTAATTGATTATTGTCGTTTTGGACGTTTGATATTGGGAAAGGTAAAACGTCTAAATTGGCCTGATATGCTTTGCACATGACCTCACTTAACGGGAGGGGATGGGCAATTGTTTAGGTCAAGGACTAAAACCAAAGCAAAACTCATATAACGACAGGGTTTTTGTAATTAAACAAAGTTGATGGACTAAAACAATAATTTACTCTTAAATTTATATAGAAAGTTTATCAAAATAAAATGTTGTAGTTTCTTTGAAAAACCCGAGAAACTTGTACCCACTTTTAAGCATTTTATATGATTTGAATTCATATTTATGCTAATTTATATTATCTTATTAAGTAAATTTAATAAAAGTCTTAAAGTCTTAAAATTTTAAGGTAATGTTTGGTACGCAGACTGGATGAGACAGGACAAGACTAATTGTCTGTCCTATGTTTGGTATGACTAGGACAGCACAGAACAAAACTATTAAAATGATCATATTACCCCTAAATGTTGTTCAATGTTATTTTATATCATATAATGATTGTAAAATGACAACAAATCAATCAAAATATTGGCATTTTAACTTTAGTCCCATGTTGTTCCACTTTTTTTGGTGGAACAAAAAATATCAAGATTTGTACTACTAAAATTAAAAATAGTCCTACCTTGTCCCATGTTTTTTTTATCCATGGCATGTCAAACATGAGACTATTTTTTTTGTCCCGTCCTGTCCCATGTAGTCTGCATACCAAACGCACCCTAAATGATCAAAATACCCTTTATACTTACTTTTTCATTTTTTTCACTTTTTCACCCCCTCCTCTCCTCACCTACACTCACTCTTTCACAACCGATTTTTTTAAAATTATAATTCAAAATTTACATTTGATACCCCTATAATTAATTAATTAATTTACTTTACGTCCTTTACTTTTAAATGTTTCATTTTAAACATTTATCAAATTAACATACATAATCGTATATCAATTAAAACATGTTTAAAAAATACATTTTTATTTTAACAAGTTACACCATTATAATCATCTCGTTAATACCTTCGAAATGAGTTCAATATTGAATAATTTTTTACTTAATTATATTATTATATTATTATATATACTGTGAAAAAATATTTTTAATATTTACGATTTATACTTTTATAGTTATTTATTTATATATATATATATATACTATATATTTTGGGGTTAGGCTATCCAAATTGTACTGTATAATATGTTTTGAGTTAATATGTTTTTGGGTTTTTTTGATATATATATATATATATATACATACATACATGTATTAATTCAACCTTAATCTGAGTTTCTGGACAAGAAAGAAGGTAAGCAGTCGAAATTTCATTCTAAAACCCATCTTTTTTTGTCTTTTCATTGCTTATGATCTGTCAAATTTGTAGTTTTCTTTATTGGTTTTGAGTGTTTATCTTAAAACTCAAGTTTCTTGGTTCTTTGCTCTTGGTGTAAATCGAATACATTTGTGGAGTCGCTTAAATATGTTGGATTTTAAATATATTGGATTTTAAACTGTTATACAACTTTTTTCATCGATAATCTGTAATTGGAACCATAACTCTTATTTATTCAGATTGTATTAATATGTAAAAACCAAGTGTAACCTATATCATCGTTAAATCTTATCTTATAAAACAAGTGGAACTTCAAAATCGTTAAAATTCATGGCTCACGCCGCATTGCGCGGGTACACAACTAGTTAATAATTATTATAACGATACTCTTTCATTGAGATAAATTTTAATTTTAATTAGTTTTTATTTTTCTCTTTTAATATAATACGATTTTATGTGGTTTTTAAAAAATATTATTAATGAAAAATAAATTTAAAGATAACATAAAATTTTAAAAAAATTAAATCGATNATCTCTATCGATATAATATGATTTTATGTGATTTTGAGAAAACGATAATATAAAATATAAATTTGAAGATAGCATAAAAATTTGAATAATTCTCGGTTTTTTGTTGTAACTTATTTAATTCAATTTTTTATTACACATTAATTTAGATTTAATAACATAGTAATTTATTTTTTGTTTAATAATATAATTGTTTATAAAGATAATAATTAAACATTTTGTTAGAACTCAATTATTATCTTAATCATAATTTAGATTTTCTATATTTAAAATAAATGTTTATCTTGTATTTGATTATGTTTATTTGCAGTTAATAACACGAATTTAAAAATGAAGTTTCAATAAGTTGCATTTATGAAAAATTACTTGTAATCTTGAAGTTTAAGTAATATGCATCAATAAACAATACTTTATGTATAAAAAATGGGTTTTAAAAGTTTTAATCAAATGTTTTATAATACAATATAGATACATGTTATTGTTTAATATTAATTCTAATATTTACAATAAATTAAATAGTATCTATTTTGTACTTTCTGAGAGTTGTTTTGTTTCTTGTACTTCCATCGAGTTTCACATAAAACAAGTTATGCTTTGATGGTTCATGTGTTGGATAAATTTCATCTGAGTAAAAAAGTTGTGGATTTAAATCTAATATAAATGTGTAAAAAAGCCAAAAATACGTAAATATTAAAAAAGATTTGATTTTATTTAGATGCTAAAAATATACGCTTTATATTATGATTTGACAAAGTTTTATCAATGAAAAATACAAATAAAACCAATTGTGAATTAGATTCAAATCAAGATCTCAAATCCAAACTCTTTCACGCCCAACATGCCTATGTGTGATTGCACCAATCAATCGTAGAAACTCGGTTAATCGACAAAGTTGATTCTAATGACATTTTATCGATCAAAAAAATTGTAGATCAGCTAAAAGAGATATGTGTTCTCATATTTTAAAAGAAAAGAATTTTTTGTTATCTGTGTTTTTGAAAAGAAATTGAACAGAACTGAATAAGCATGTAAACAAGATGAAATATTGCGTGAGCTACTACTTGAGATGGATTAGGTCAAAGCTTAAAAAACACTCGACGCGAGTTCAACTTGCATCGTTTATATCCTTGGAAAAGCACGAGTTATCTCTCTCTCTCTCTCCCTTGCTTTTTCTTTGTAAAAAAAGTTTTGAGAACACAACATAAAATATATAAGAGCATCTCCAACAAATCTTTAAAATAGAAAACTAAAAGTCAAAATCTTCAAAAAGAAATTATGTTGATCTCCAACGGTTTCTTTGAAGATTATGATATGAATTATATTATTAAAATATTTAAAATAATTCATAAAGTATTATTTATATCTCCTAAATATTTAATTTCAAAAATTCTTATTGGTAAAAATTATAAAAAAAATCAATTCTCGTCTCTAAGTAATCATTTTTGGGTAGTTCTTCAAATATAAAGAATTTCATTATATCCCATACTTTTTTTTGTTTTAAAAAATTTATAGTAAGAAAAGATATTTGTTTTGAAGAATATAAGGGCGTTTGGGATTGCTTATTTGGAAAAACTTATGTTTTTCTACAAAAACACTTAACTTATTATAAGTCAGAAGAATTTAACTTATTTAAAAACTTCTTATTACCGGTTTGGCACCGTATAAGTTGTTTATCCAAACACTCAAAAGTGCTTATTACCGGTATCACATCAGAATAAGTCAATTAAATTGTTCTTATTAGCGATCCCAATTCCCAAACACCCCCTAAATATCAAAATAGATATTTTGATTAAAGTTTCATAATATATGTTTCTTATAAACGAAGGAAGAGCATATGTACGTGGCCCCATGTAGGTTGCAACTGTTAACTTCGTCGACATAATTAGACATAAATGATAGCATGGCCTATCCTTTCATTTATTACTACAATAATATCTCAAACTCAACATAAAAATCCCTCGATAAAGTAAGCCAAGAAACTTGGTTTTAGGAAACATATATCATACATGTAATATATACACCAACATTTACTTCCATTTCTTGAACCCAGACATTTTGCCCTTATGTTTTCCGAATTTGCCATGCTTCCCGCCCTTTCCATGCTTACCTTGCTTGAATTTCCCACCACCATGCTTTCCGTGCTTCCCGCCACTGAAATGTCCCATGCCGCCCATCATGTTCTGGGCTCCATGTGCTAAATTATGACCCCCATGGCTCCCATGCCCCCCATGCCCCCCATGCCCTGCTAGTTGGTGAGCTCCGTACGCGGCTGCAGCAGCAGCTGCACCTCCAGCTAGCATAGTTCCCATCCCAGGTCCATGCCCATGCCCTGATCAAACATAAACATTATGATGATGATGATGATCACCAAGTTGAAAAGATTAGAATACAAGATAAAAAGCATGCATCTTTCACCACTAAAAGCAGCACTACTTTAGTTTTAGACCAAAGCTTTTTCAAATGGGGCTAATCAATACTCTTTTCCATCCCAAAAAAGTTAAAAAGAATCAAAGTTCAAAATATTCTCTAAACTACCATTGCTTTTTAAAGATTGGGTTTTGTTAATCTGTAATAATCAAAGGTAAGATCTGAATCAATTGTCTTTGGATTCCTTGTAATTTTAAAAGGGGGCCCTTTTTATGGGACAGCGGATTTTATTTACTTTAGGCCTCCAATTTCCAGTTGAACATCATGATGTATTTAACAAGTAAAATAGCATGATAATGGAATGTAAAAACTAATGAAAAATGTTATTTATGATGTTGAGACAAACTTACCTCCTGAACTATGAGGAGCTGACTGACCAGGATAGCCAGCTGGTGGATATCCATGTTGGGTTCCTTGTGGAGGATAACCTTGCGGGGGGTAACCACCACCAGCGGGAGGATATGCTGCTGGTGGGTATCCTCCAGGTGGGGGGTAACCTTGAGGAGGGTATGCTCCCTGGGGAGGGTATCCTCCTTGAGGAGGGTACCCCCCACCATGATGTGCAGCTCCAGCAGCCATTCCAGCGATATTAGATAACAAACCTTTGTCCTGATTGTTATGATGTTCCTCTCCACTCATGTTGTTTCAATTTATTATTCCTTTCACAATAATAACCTGCAACCAAAATTGAATGTTTTGAGCCACATGCTATTTGTTATCGAAAATGAAATATGACCATCAATTTTTCTTGGACTACATCAGTGTGAATATGTCATTAACCATTGGCGTTAAGATCCACAAATACATCAGCAATCATACAAATTTATCTTCAGAAAGCTTCTCAAAACTACAGTCCACTTAAAAACCAAACCAAACCAAATCAAACTTGGAGGTGAGGTTTAGAGAGGGTAATATGCAAGTAGACTTGACATCTACCCATTAAAGAGTAAAGCGGCTGCTTCCATGAAACGACTTACGAAAAGTGTGACAGAGAGAAAGTCAGAAATGCAGACAAATCCCACAAATAGAAACACCAGAATAATTCAACTCACAGAAAATGAGATCAATAAATTGGAACTATCCAAATGGAAAGTTGGCCCAGCTTTCAAAAGGCAAGGGGTTCAACATGATTCCGCTATCCTTTTAAGTTATGGAACAAGGGATTTGTGTAATCACCTATATGAATAGTAGGCCAAACAAAAAACGTGATGCATTAATATAGTAGGGCCTCAAAAGTGTTTTTCACCTTCAATACCTATTCTTTTTACTTCCCCTGGGGCATAGCACAATTGGTTCCGAGATGATATACTTGCACAAACTATTTATCAAGTGCTTAGATTCAGGTCCCTAGTTTGAAACCCTTTCCCCTTTGCCATTAAAGATAAAGGCTTATAATATGGTGAACAAAATTATAGGTAAAACTTGGAATACCCTTCACCAAACTCAGATAGGAAAACCAAGAAAGAAGCAAGCCTAATCAGTTCATGAACCAAAAAAAGGCAAGCCAACGCTATAACAATATATCCTTTTTAACACATCAAATAATCTAACCCTAGTTTACTTCAAATCCGAGATCGTTTATTCCCCCCAAAAAAATACAGTTTGCCTACACAATAGCATGATTTATGAATATAGAAATCGTGATTTCTTACCCAATTTCAAGTTTCAGATTCAGATTTTAATAAAACAGGGGTTTCAGATACAAAATTAGGGATCTAAGACAACTACTAACTCATGTAATTGAGTACCATCACAATATAAACACAAATAAATAAATCCACATGCCATCCACGATCCAGAACTCCAGAAATGCACTTATGCTGTAATATAGAAACAGAAAGTGCTCAAACTTCGAGTGATCACATAATCCTAAAAAACTCAAATACAATACAAACATCAACGCATTGGATCATCAATTTACACAGATCAGAACAGTAAATTAATCTCTGATCGGCACCATTCATCAATCAAAAAGAGAGGAAGAGAAAGCAAATTGAAACCACTTACCAGATGGTTTGATTTGTTGAAATTGGTGGTGGTTTGAAGGTCGAGCAGCCTGTGTTATGACAATATCAGATAAGCACAGGATGATGGGATTATATATAGACGAGTTGCAGTCGACACGTCGTGCAACGACGCGTTTACTTGGAAACCCCCACGCGTTTCTTCTATTCTATTGGATCATGCTTCAATCGTGAGACTGGTTGAATTTTTTGTTTTTATTTCTTTTACCATCACTTTTAAATTATTGAATTTTCATATAATTTTTTAAAACAAATAAATTCATAGATATTATAAAACCTGTTAAATATAGGGTTTTTCTAACCCCATCCCTTCTATGGGTGCATGTGAGGGGGGTGAGATTGTGTAGGGAATGAGTATATGAGGATGAAAGTGAGAACATGTGAGGGGTGGGGGGTGAGATTGTGTAGGGAGTGAGTATATGAGGATGAAAGTGAGAAAAAGTTGTGAGAGTGAGGGTTGGTGTGAAGAGAAGGGGGTGAAAAGTGATGTAGGCGATGGCGAGGGGGAGGGGGGTTGGTGGGGATATCAACCCCCTAAATATATCATTATAATATATAAAACTAGTCAATGTCATCAAGTAATAAAATAATCTAAAAAAATCTAATGGACATTAATATTATAAGTGATTATATACATAGAGGGGGTTTACTTGCAAACTACGTTATTTGTACAAACCGTACAAACATTATTCAACCAATCATAATTTTTTATTTTGCTCATTTTTTTGTAATTACTAGAAGGTACCCGTGCAATGCAGCGAGATACATATTCATTTTAATGTTTCGTTTTATTTTTTGTTTTTGTTAATATAATACGATTTATATAGTTTTGAGAAAGATAATGTTTTTACTTTTGAATAAAAATAAATTTGAAGACATCATAAATTTTATAAAAAATATATCGATATAATTCATTTAATTCATTTTTTTATTATAATTTAATTTAGGTCAAATAGTGAAGTAATTTATTTTTGGCTTAACAACAAAATTTTATTAAAAATAATGATTCTGTTAGAACTCGATAATTATCCTAATTATATTTTAGATTTTTTATATTTTAACATGAGATGTTTATCCTCTGTTTGATTATATTTATCCCCAGTTAGTTACACGAATTCAAACATGGAGTTTTAATGAGTTGTACTTATGCATAGTTTACTTGTAATTTTGAATTTTAAGTAATATGCATCAATATACAATACTTCATGCATAAAAAATGGTTTTTAAGAGTTTTTATCAAATGCCTTATAATATAGTATAGATGAGAGGTTGATTAATCATTTTTATTATATAGAGTGTTAATTATAGATATTATCATCTTCATTATTTTTATTTTAGAAAAATACATGAACAGTTTCATTAAAATTTAATTAAGTATTATATGAAACAATTTCATAACCATATATGAAACAGTTTCATAAAAAAAATATTATATAAAACAATTTCATGAAAAAGTTTTATAAAATTAAACAATGAAATCAACGAATAAAAATAATTTACACGATTTATACAAATTAAATGATTTAGATTTGATCGTTCCTCCGTATTTTCCCTTTTGGAATAAGAAAGTTGATCTCTTTGTAGGCTTTTCTCTCGTGTATTTTGATTAGGGGGGAAATAAAATTTACTGAAAATTAAAGGGGTGTAAGTGCAATTTCTGAAAAATCATCCAAAAAGGTATAACTGCCGTGGTGCACGCCATGTAACCACAGAACAGGAAAGGGGAAAGATATGGCGTTGGCTCCGTCTTTCAAACCCCTGCCACTCCCATCACCACCGGTAAAGCATACACTACAACTTTCCACTTCACGGCGGTTCTCCTGCACCTGCTCTGCCGTCGCTCAGCCGGATTCTTCTTCTACTTCATTATCATCGTCTTCGGTCATTCATCGTCCTGCTGTCATTCTTCCTGTAAATTCTCTCTCTATCTCTGTAAATTTGTGCAGTTTTGGGGTTTTTTGTTTGGAAGAATTGAAGGAACTTCTGTGCAATTGACTTCATTGTCATTTTGTGATTAGGAATAGGAATCGATCCAACATTCTCAAAGTTGGTGTTGTTCTCTCCTTGCCATAAAATTGCAATGATTAACGCTACATATAGTTATTACAAGTGTAGGTTAGTTAGATCTTTCAACATTGGCAGCTAGGGCATATGTGAATCAAACTGATACCATCTTAATATGCAAGGATGCGAATCAAACAGGCAACTTTAGTTTGAAAATTTGTTGGCAATGGATTGGTTGCAATTAGTATGAGACATCTAACATCGGAACGACGAAAGAGGTATGTAACAGGTTTTCGAGCTAAAAGAAAAAAAATTCTAGCTAAGATTACTGGAAAATAAATGTTTTACTGATAATAGTGAGTAAAGAATTTGGTTTTGACGCTTTTTAACTCAAATGCTCCAAACCTCTGATGGATTTTGAGGGATTAAAGTAGTAGAGTGGTTGTTCTACTATTTCAAAAACGCTTAATGGGTTAAAATTGTAATCTGTATTAATCTAATCTCAAGTGATGACAGGGTTTAGGGAATAATACGGGTGATTATGAGAAATTAGCTTTGACCTTACAAGGTTATGGTGTTTCAAGTGTGGTGGCCAATGTTTCTAGAATTGACTGGCTGAGGAATGCCGCTGGATTGGTTGACCCTAATTACTGGCGAGGAACGCTCCAACCTCGCCCTGTTCTTGATTGGTATGTTGGTTTTACATGTTTCCTGGCTCTATTGTTTGATGAGTTGTCAACTAAAGCTAAATGTACTGTGGTCAGGTATTTAATTCGGGTTGATGAGGCTGTCAATGAAGCTTTGAAACAATCTCAAGGTTTGTAATTTCTGTTAACTAACTTTGATTGAAGGGATTACTAACTGTAAACGGGCACACTAGTGATCACACTTGAGTTGCAACACATGCTCTAAATCGAACCAAACTACCAATCCAATTACCAATAACAACTAGTGCTCCTAAACCCAGATGTGAACAAAAAGCGGAAATGGTTGTATTCTAACCATGCATATAATCTGCCATAATTCAAACATGGCAAACAATATATAATGCATCAAAAGTGAGTAAGGAGAGAAATATACACCGAGATTTACGTGGAAAACCCAAAACCGGAAAAACCACGGGTGAAGGAGCCAAATAACAATGTTAGCACAAGATTAAATGTGTATTTAATGCACTACAAATCTACAATGAAGAAGAAGAGTAAATGGTGTTAGTATGGACAAAGGAAGAATATCTACATTGAGTTGTCATCATTAGATCTCTAATTTGGCACTAAAAACTGGTCACTAGTCAAAAGCGACTTGCAAGCGACCTGGTAGGTCGCACAACATCTCGCTCAGTTCCACACTTGCAACCGACTTGAGAAGTCACATAGAAGTCATGCTGACTTGAGTGTGCAAGTTTAGAAGTTGCAGTGATTTAGCTTCAAATGTATTGTAGCTTTTCGTTCGTTCAATGTGACTTGTTGGGCAACATGGAGGTCTCATAAAGCATCTGGAGTGAATTGAGAGGCATTTTTCAGACTTGTTGGGCAACATGGAAGTCTCATAAAGCATCTGGAGTGAATTGAGAGGCATTTTTCAACACTAAAACTCCAATATGAAGGATCTTTGTGCAAACTAGATTGTTGGTGAAATATGTAATGTTATTGTTTATGACACGAGCTCCCTCTTGGTTCTAACTTCTAAGTTCTAACATCTACTAATCATGTACGCAAATGAAAACATAAATTCAAAACCGTAATCTAACATAATGAGTTGTTGCACTGGACAACATTTAAATTCTCCATGGCTTTCAGAACCTTATTTTCTGTTGTGCATAAATTTTGAATAAGGTTACGAAGAGGTAATTATTTTCAAACCATCATACTAGTCTTTCCGTTCCAAGTTAGAACAATGCCAAAGGATAGTACTGTTTACAAAGACTGGGGTGAGTTATAGAAAAAATTGTGTAAATGTAAATGCAAAAAAGAACCATAGCACTTGGTAATTTTTTTTCTTTCTTGCAATTTCGTGAGAATGATGGTTTGTCTGCAATAAAAAGCCAACTACAATGATTCAAATAACCAGGAACTTGTTTTTAAAGGTGCAACTATCCTTTCGATCATGACCCTCATGCACATTTGACAAAACAATAAGATGTTTGCACTGTAGGTGGTTCTCTGTCGATTATTGGACACTCTGCAGGAGGGTGGCTGGCTCGGGTGTACATGGAAGAGTTCAAAAAGGCTAACGTTTCCTTGCTTCTCACTCTGGGATCTCCTCTTCAGTATGTATTACTAAGTAAATTCGCTTCAAGACTAATATGTAGATGTTTTAAACAGTCCTTCCTTTTTTATGTCAATTTTAGGCCACCGCCAAAGGGGTTGCCTGGAGTTGTTGATCAAACAAGGGGTCTTTTGTATTATGTTGAGAAGAACTGCAGGAAAGCTGTTTATACTCCAGAACTGAGATATGTATGTATCGCAGGCAGGTATAGTGGTATACTGAAATGTGAAAAAATGCAAGCTGGTCTTGTTATTTCATCTTTAATCTTAATGTGTTCACGTATTTGGAGTATACTGGTTCTAAGAACTATAGGGGACTCATGATGCATCACAAGAACACTTGTTTATCTGGTTTGACACTGAAAATGGTATAGCATATTAGAAAGAGGCTTTGCTCATTTACCCCTTTTTTTTCTTTTTACACCTTTCTTGCGGGTCCTATCTTTACCTATCTGACACAATGGAAATTGTACATTGTGACCAGAACCAAGGAAGTATGCGGCGGACATGACTGGACTTGATTAAGATTGTGAAAGGTTTTAGGATTTTAATTTGATATGGGTAGTTTAGTAATTTACAATTTTGTTTCATCTCCTTTATTTTGTTCCACCTGTTTTGGTGGGACTATAAAAAACACACTTTTGTCCCCATGTCCCGTTCTAATGATGCGTGAAACATGGGATAACAAGTTTCTGTATTGTTTTGTCCTGCTTGCGAAACGCACACTTAGGGTGAGGTATGCTGTAGATATATTTTTACGCTCTTCGCACTTAATGGAAAATAAGTGTGCACTACATACGTGTGTGTATCCTACTTACAATCAGTATACTCTGTTCATTTCATAAATATTTCAATAGTTTCAGTTTCGGGGTACTGATTTTAGTTCATCAAATTTCTATTTTGTTACTTCAGACATTTGGTTAGTAATTGAACATTTCTCTAGCCTATGTGAATTGAATTTGTACATCTCTTGTGATACCCATCTCAAAGAAGGATACAAAATTGAGATTGCATACAAGACTTGATCGAATTTTGGTCACTTGCAGGTACATCCAGGGCAGTCGTTTCTTTGACGACTCGGATTCTGCAACAAGTATTCCAGTTGCCCTTGAGCAATCTGTTCCCAATGTAGCTGTTGAAAGTGATACAAGCACCTTAACATCAACTGGTGCTACATTTCGCACTCGCTTTGTTGGTCAGGGCTACAAACAGGTAATGCTTCATTTCGAACTATCTTCGCATTAAGCCAGCCACCTAGCAGGCCGCAGTGTGCGAGTTACAATCCTTTGGGAATCCTGTGTGTAATTAACACATTGTGGCCCACTAGGTGGCTCACTGGTCCAAGTCACCTCAAGCAAACCCTTTGGTGATCTTGAGGGGACTTGAACCAGTGATACCAGTTGAGCTACCCTTGAAGGTTTAGAACTTGGATTTCCTTCCTTTTAGTTGTAACAATTGTTCTTCTTTCCACAGGTGTGTGGGCAGGCAGATGTATGGGGTGATGGAGTTGTTCCAGAAGTATCGGCTCATCTTGAGGGTGCGTTAAACATTAGTTTGGAGGGAGTGTATCACTCGCCCGTTGGTTCTGATGATGAATCTAGACCGTGGTACGGCTCACCAGCTGTCGTCGAGCAATGGGTTCACCACCTGCTTAACTAGTCTGTGTTTATAGGTAATTATTATAGTGTACAGATTCTTTTCATGGAAATCTGGCAGTTGTAAATCCTGCATCTTCCACCAGAACTATTAGTTTAACATCACTGAAGTTGATGCACAACGGAAGCCAATACACATACACTATATTTACACATGTTTCAAGAGAAAATTATAATATTATTCGCCATACTAAATTCATGTTTCAAGAGCAAACCATCGTGGTCGTTTGTCATGACGTCTAGGCCTTTTTCCGTGCATATGTTGCACTCACAATCCCATAATTCTTTACGAGTTAAAAGTACTAATTGCTGGACTAGACCCGCTTTGCATCAATACTTCACTTGGGGTCCGTTTACCAAATGCTTACCGAGTAAGAACTTACTGACAATAGTCATCGCCTTCACTTAGCTTATTGGGTAACATTATCAGTCATCAAAAATGGATTGTTAGTGAACAATTTTTTACCCGGTAAGCGTTTATCATGTAAAAATTTACTCCACTTACCGAGTAAGATTATTGGTTATTGCTATGCTTCTTACCAAGTAAGATTTTTGGTTCTTGCTACGTTTCTTCCGGGTTAAGATTTTTGGTTAAGACCAACCCCAGGCTGGTTGAACCAAACTAAACTGATAGAGGTTGACCAGTTTCGGCTGAACCAGGCACCACTCCACAGGTCGTTTGTTCAATCAAATATGCACCTATAAATTTCAGGTCACGATTGATTGCGTAATCATATCTGGAGATGTATAAAATTACTGAAAGTTGAAATAAAATCCAGCATTCACCATCTGAAAATGTACCACCATCACTACACCATTTACTACTACAATCAGGAGCAAGAAAATGGAATTCATTAAGTTGAGCTTAGCCAGCAGCAATTAGCATCATCAAATTACATGGAAAATGAAGTGAACGACTGTTGAAGCTTGTTTCCATTTCATACACCTTTGATCACCATCCAGCCCAAAAAAGTGCACTCCTAGATCGAAAGCTAAATATCGACAAGAAGCAGCTGTCTAGATGGCAAATCAGCCATCAAGACGTCTTGACAAAATGAGGAGCTAGCAACTTGGCAATTTCTAGAAAACCAACTCTGTCTCTCCCGTCAAATATCGTCTTAAGCTTTTCATCACAAATTATCTCTTTCTTATTCGTTGGATTCTGCAGCCAAAACTTCCACATTTCAGAACAAAATAATGGGAAAAGAGGGTTAGAGGATGGGAGAGTGCCACTATATTGATCAAGTAGATCAAGATTTGCTTAATTGTTTTTAGACAAAGTTATAATTTTAACACGAATCCACTTGAAACTTATTTGTCAATCTTTTTTTTAATTAACCTGGATATCCAACCCGCTATGCGAGCCGACTAATCCCAGGGCGACCACCTGCTTTGCCGTTAGCCCAGAATCACCGCATTTGGACCTCCGTGGCCACAACCACAAGAGAATTTTTATTCCTCCTTGGATTTGAACCTGAGACCTCCTGGTACTTTTGACCTTTGGAGCCAATCTCAAACCAATCAGGGACCACCCTTGTGGTTCTTATTTGTCAATCTTCTTATTGACACGTCTCATACATAATTATTGACCTGTGTAGATTATTCAGACAATTAACAAACTAAAAATTATCAAATTTACAGACAAGAAGAAACAAAAGAATTTGGAATATGTATTTAGTAATCCAAAAGTTAGGGAGCATAGCCTCCATCCATTTCAATCAATCAATTTCTCTCCTATTCATTTATTTATTTTTTCATTGTAAAAGCTAGTTGCAAATACTGAGTTATTCTTGCTGGTGGTGTAGAGGGAGATTCGATGATGAGGGGACAAACGCATTTCTGCTACAATTTATAATATAGTAATGCAATTTACCCATCAATAACACTAGTTACCTAGCGAGTTCACTTAGAATGACTAACAAACCACACTAAATCAACCAAGTATATCGCACTCGAAAGTAGGGTTTGGGAAGTTGACTTAGAATGACTCGGGACTGATATTGCCAGCATAATAAACAAATAGACCTAGTTCCCCCATTATATATGTGTGTGTGTGTACTTGTATAAATATATATGCATATATAGATTTCCTAGAGTATGCAGCATCCTAGCACACCAGTAGACTTGAACGTTTATCCTATATGCCCTATGTGGCTGAACATGAAACTAGTAGTGTCAGCCACCTGCATCCTATGCTTAGCTCATGCCAGGTACAAGATAAACCTCATAATATACAAATACATATTGCAGGACAAATCAATTCATCTATTGCACCCTACCTCACCCCCCCCCCCCCCCCCCCCCCCCCCTTACAAGTTAACCAGAAGAATTCCAAGGCCAAAGGTAACCCAAAAACAAGTGCTCACATTGTAACTTCAGATCAAAGCAGTGATGATGGAAGTATGAGGTAAGGGAATCATGCATCATCATATTCTTTCAAAAGCTATTGCTCTTAGTAGCCTATTACCCTTGAGTTCAAAAAGTGATGCTTCTGAAATATATGGGTAGGGCTGAACACATTTTAATCAGGCTCATTACTTGGGTCCTTCGGTTGAATGACCTCAAATGAGTTTTCACTTAGGAGCATGACTTTCTAATTCTTTTAACTAAATGATCTTCATTTGACCTGCTCTTGATTTCAAACACCCTGCTCCTGATGTAAAACAACATGTCCCTGAAAAAACTTGAAAATACACTGCAGAATCATTTTCCGGCTTCGAGAGAAGGTCATTGAGCTAAATAGCCCCTCATTGCTTCATCCAAAAACGAACATCGTCTGGTGAGCCCCTTCTGTCTAATTACAAACTAGTTGAAACGACCTACTAATTTGCAGTAGGTTTTCACTCCAATTTACGACATAGAAGTCCTGCATTGCATTATCAAATTTTACGGTACAACCTACCCATTTTTTTCAGGTGCATTTTTTCATTTCATCTCTGGATCACAACCTTAGGGCCTAACAATATTAAATTCAAAAACCAGAAAAATCAAATCATTGTTGGATAAAATCGATAGAGCACAAAACTAACAGCAAGTAAAGATAAATACCTAGAAAATAACCTCAAAACTGGGTATCTTGGCTTTGAAAGACTAACTAATCTACTCTAGTTTCAGCGAGTTCATCTCGATGAAATTGCATTATCAGACACAAGCCATAACACATTTTGAACCCCTAATTTATATGTTTACGGTCAGGATATGTAGCAATATCATGTAAATGTCTCTTAATAACCACAAAGAGCAAAAACTAGCAAGTATTGGTAGATACAAAAAATTAATTGGGGCAAAACCTATATTACCAAACTAAATGAAAGATGAAATACGAAAATGATGATAATTAATAACTTGCCTGAAGCTCATGGAGCTTGATGTACTCCCAAATCTTCTTCACGGCTTCGGTTCGAGGGGACTCAGAGACACCACCGAGGAAGTCACCTAGGGCTGGAGAAATTGGACTAGGCTTAAGAATGCCAACAGGTTTCACGATTCTCTCCGTGGAAGGCTGCTTCAGTTTCTTCGCTGGTTTCTCCGCTGATTTTTTGACGGTACTCTTCTTCTTTGCAGCAGTGGTGGTAGTAGCAGCGGTGGCCGTGGTTTTGGGAGTGGCGGACTTGGCTGCAGCACATAGAGATCTGCAGCCGTTGAAAACCCTAGCAGCGGACGCCATTGGAACGATTATCGCAGTGGATGATTCGAGTTTTGTGTGTTGGCGACGGAAATATAGCAAGGAAAGACGACCTGAAAGAACCATGAAATGGCAGGAGGGGTGCTACTCTAACGAGGGGTCACATAGGGTTACTCTGTTAGCGACACGTGGCAACAACAAAAAAGAGATGGATTCTGAAAATATAAAAGAAAAGTGACAATGCTAAGCAGGGGCGATCAAAAATCCGACTATTCCGATCAACTTGATTAATCTAACCTAACACGAAATAACTTAATCTGAAGTAACCTGATATTTAATCAAGTTGTTAAATTTGTCAAACCGTAGATATTGAGTTGATATTGGATTACTGTTATTTGAACTCAACTCAACCCAATGAACCCGATATCTTTTTATTTTTTGGATTTAATATGATTGTTGAATTTGTATTAATATGTACATTAGACAATTACACTATCATGTATGTTCTTTATATACACATATTTTTAATCTATTCATATATTTATATAACTTATTCGTATATATGTTCAGTAACTGTGAACATATATATGTAAATTGAGAAAATTAACTGAATGTGATATACGTAAGAAGTATGGATAAATTGTATCAAATGGTTGATGATTAAAAAGAAATTATGAGTAGAGAAATAACATATTCTAGGTTAGAAGAATATTTTAATGTACCAAAGTATCAACCCGACCAACCCGTACGGGTTGGGTTGGGTTGCACTTTGGTCCGGGTTGGGTTGGGTTAAGATTTTTTCAAACCGCAAGCATTGGGTTGGATTGTTCAAATGTCTTCAACCCAACCCATGAACACTCCTAATGCTAATGTTAGAAAATAAAAATAAAAATGTTCATTGTATTAATTTCGTTTGATCTATACTAATAAAAATAATATAAATGAAAGTTATGGTGAGAATATTTATGAACTGTTGAATCCTCATTACTAATGGAATCAAAATGATCTCTGGATTGATCAGAATATCTGTAACGCCCCAACCCACACATTGCATGTAACACATATTTCATACCAAAGAAATACATATTCATATACCATTCAGGTCCCTTAGTACAAGAATCTACTATTACCGAATATAAGGTCCAAAAATTCAAAATACATATATTGCACTAATCAACAAAACTATTCATCAAAAGCAATTCCTCATCCAAAATGCATATAAGAAAAGCATTACATCTTTCCCTTTCCCTTACCTTCTGTACCTCCTGCAATATATATTTAAAATCACAAAAACGAGGGTTAGACTAAAAAGTCTATGAGATACCCTATTCATGTCATTGCAGAGTGAAGGATCACCAAAACCTTTATAAAAACAACTATTCATACATATAACAAATATATGAATACACAAGAACGAAATACCAGATCATTTTCCACTTTTCAAGCTAATTA